GAAAGAAAGAAAGAAAGAAAGAAAGAAAGAAAGAAAGAAAGAAAGAAGGGCTGGAGAGTTGGCTGAGCAGTTAGAGCGTTTGTGCTCTTGCAGAGGACCAGGTTTGGTTCCCAGCACCCACACGGAGACTCACAACTGCCTGCAACTCCACACATCTGATGTCCTCGTCTGACCCCCGAGGGCAAAAGGCACCCATGTGTACAACTACCTACCAGCAGGCTAACCACAAATTAACAACACCAAAAACAAAAACAAAAACAAAAAAAAAAAAAAAAGGAAGAAAGCAAAAGCAAAAAAATCCTCTGAAAATATAGATGGATTTCAACAGGTACTATCAAAAATAACTACAGAAACTGTTTTTGCTGATTAAATTTTTTTTTTTTTTTTTCTGATTTTAAGAGCCTTTAATCCAGTGTTTATTTACAGCCTAAAGGGAGAAATGGTTAAGGTTTCCAATAGTCATAGGGTGGTATAAAAAGGCTTTCTTTTAGGAGTTAGGGATGTTAGAGTGCTTGGACCTCATACACAAGGCACCAGGCTGGAAGCTTACACTGGAGAAAAAGAAAAAAATCAAGTTTTTCACCATGAAGTTACAGACGGGAGCCACAAGCCAGGAAACACATGGGGTGCGTATTGGAACAATTTATTCTGAAAAGTAATAAAAATTCATAATACTATAAACATTTCATATGCCTTTATTATATTAAAAAGCAAGCACTCGGTCATCTGTTTGTGAATGATGAATCTTCAGATGTTTTTGGTTTGGTTTTGTCTGGGTGTCTTGTCTGCTTTCGCACCACATGCATGCAGTACCTGTGGGAGCCAGGAGAGGGAGCCGGAAGCCCAGTTGGCGTTGCAGGCAACTGGAAGCTGCTGCTACCCGGGTGCTGGGAACTGAACCTGGGTCTCCTTGCAATGCTCTCAACTGCTCAGTGGTCTCCCCAGCTCCTAATGAGCTCCTTATTTTTAAATCTCAACTTTCAACTTAATTCTTGTTAGCTATGTGATTATTACATAAGAGCAGACGCAGGCCAATCTGGTCTACAGGGTAAGTTTTCAGCCAGCCAGGGCAACAAACAAACAAACAAACCAAGCGAACAAACAAAAACTCATGTGCTTTTATTTTTTATTTTTTCAGTCCTAGGGACTGAAATCTAGGACTTTGTGCATGGCAGGCAACCCCACACCCATGAACTTGTTACCAGATAATGAGTTCACTCTGATTACTTGTCTCTGTATATTTAAGAAGAGGGCAGGGAAGTTGTGTGAGGAAATAATTACCTTTATTAAAAAATCGAAAAGGCTTGATCTTTAATCTTTAAACTTTTTTTTTTTTGGGGGGGGGGGAGTTTTGAAGAGATGGCTTAGAGGTTAAGAGCTCTGGCTGCTCTTCCAGGTCTTGAATTCAATTCCCAGCAACCACATGGCGGCTCACAGTCATCTATAATGTGATCTCATCTGGCATGCAGGTATACATGCAGATAGAGCACTCATATACATAAATAAATACATAAATCTTAAAAACATTTTTTTTTTTCAAGACAGGGCTTCTCTGTGTAGCCTTGGCTGTCCTGGACTCACTTTGTAGACCAGGTTGGTCTCAAATTCACGGAGCTCACCTTTCTCTGCCTCCCAGAGCGCTGGGATTACAGGGGTGTGCCACAGCACTGGCTCCTTTGAAACATTTTGTTATTTCTGTGTGTGCGCACGCCTGCTTCTTCGTATGTACCCACGTGTGTGCAGGTTCCTGTGGGGACCATGAGCATGCTGGATGATGTGGCTGTCAAGCAACTGTGAACTCTGACTGTGGGAACCCAACCTGGGAGCTCTGCAAGCACTCTTAACCACTAAGCCGTCTCTCCAGCCCCTTGATCTTTTTATTTTTATTTCACATTTTTTTTAAACATAATTTTTTATTTATTACAACTTATTCACTTTGTATCCCAGCTGTAGCTCCCTCCCTCATCCCTTCCCATGCCTTTTCCCCAGTCCATCAATAGGGGAGGTCCTCCTCCCCTTCCATCTGACCTGAGCCTATCAGGTCTCACCAGGACTGTCTTTTATTGTCTTCCTCTGTGGCCTGGTCAGGTTGTTCCCCCCTCAGGGGAAGGTGATCAAAGAGCCAGCCACTCTTGTTCTTTTAAGTCACTGAGAAGTTTTTCAATGTTTTACTATCCTTAATATCAGAGATCATTAATATTTTCTATATTGCCATGAGAATTTCAAGGATCACTGCACTAAACAGAGCCCTTCCCCCAAACCAAAACCCCCCAAATCTTTTGTCTTGTTATTTTCCTTTTTACAGGAATAAGAGGAAACCTGTTCTAGCTTAACAAAGACATCCTTCCCTAATAACCACTATCTTGTGGCATTGACAATGTCTCCCAGTTTACAAGAAGATAAATAATCATGGGCAGTGCAAGTCTGTTCATCTTCACTTTAGTGAAATACACTGGCAGCCAACCTCTGGAGAGTCGCTGTTCTGCTACCTGAACTGCCTGAAATGGAGAAAAGAAAGGAAAAACTCTCTCTAAAAAGACAACAGGTCAGCTCAGTCTGGTTCCACAAAACAGCAGCAAAAGGAAAGAATGCAGGAGCAATTAAGTAAGATTTGAAAAAGCAACAGAAAATATAATGAACAGGTAAACGGGTACCTTGATTCTGTCACTGAACTGGTATTTCTTTATGATCATTTCCTGCAATTGGCAAAATTCTCCATTCAGCTCTACCCCACAGAGCTGCAGTGCCGAGCTGTAAAGGTAACCCTGGAAGGGAAAGGCACGTTGCAGAACAGTTAGCTTTTAGGTACAGGTCTATATACATCTGAATTAAAAACCTAACTGTTACAAAACCCACAGACAGCATGCAGAACTCTACTGACCAGGGCCTTGACTCGACTTTATTAATTCCCATTATACAGCTATGTTTTAAAAGACTGGTTTTTAAAGTTTCCTGATAAACTGGGCATTCAGCAAAGTTGGAAATGATGAAAACGACCACATTCCCGACTTCTCTAGGGTCTGTTCAGCCTTCATACTTTCTGGGGAAGTTACATTCTTGTAAAGCAGGCAAGTCGATCTGTGTGGAATGCAGTGACAGCCACACACCGTTGATACTAGGGAGGGAAGGTAGCCGAGCCCATCAGTTAACAAGGACATGGAAAACTGCTGGAAATTGTGATCGGTTTCTGTGGCAGAGTAACAAAAACTAACATGGAAGGAAAGGTCAGCTAATTTTGTCAGGTAACCTTCTGCTCATTTTTAACTAATTAATTAATTTAGAGACAGGGTTCATGGTGCACAAGCTGGCTCTGAACTTATCTTCTGGATGCTGGCTCCTGAAGATGACTGCCTAGCAACACATGAAAAAACAAGTTTGAATCTACAGTTCCATCACAGATATTCATAGTATTTATAACATTTTTCAAAGTACCTATCTCTACATTATATTTGGTATTGATTCAGTGATCTACTATAGGAAAAATGTCAGTATATTTATACTACCAACACTGCACTATACCCGCACAGTCATCATCATCTGACATGACATTTTTTGCATGATTCTTTTTTTTCCTTCCGTTCCCTCCCTTCGTTCTTCTTTCTTCTGTGTGTATATGTGCATGTGTGTTGTATACATACGTGAATATGCAGATACGTATGTGTGGAACCAGAGTGTCTTCCTCTCCTTCACCTTACTGCCTCAAGATAGGCAATACTCTTAAAAAAATAATAAAGCAAGCAAGCTAGGGAGCAGGGTGGGCAGAGGCCGCACACCTGTACCTGTAATCTTAGCATTCAGATGGCCGAGCGAGGACCAGTTCAAGGCCAGCCTGGTGATTTGGCAAGTCTCAAACCCAACCCAACCCACAGAACAACAGGAGCACTAAACAAAAACTATCAAATTGTGTTATCTACTCAGAGACTGAAAGTCTAGGTGGGCATTAATTCCAGAGTTGCTTTCTGTCTAAAGCAGGCAGCAAAGTGGGAAACTGACAGCATCTGTTCCTGGCAAGAGTCACTACTGCTTCTCCGGGTGGTTTGTTTGTTTGTTTGTTTGTTTGTTTGAACAAGCTAATGACAGCCATTGGAGGTAGTCACGATTTGAATTTATAACAAGAGCTGCATTGAAGTGGTATTTCAGAAACAAAAGTAATGTGTACATTCTGAGACACAGAAAATTGGACACGATGTATCCTTGGACATCACCCAGTGTGTACATTTAAAGATAGGGAACTAGATATCCAGAGCCATTAAGTGACTTGCTATGGCCACACAAATGGGATTACAGGTGTGCTCCACCGTGCCCAGCTCAAAACTGTTTCTTAGGCCCAGTACATTTGTTATTTTTGGGTTCTTATCAAAGCTCAGTATACTATTTTATTTTAATATTGTGCAAAGAAAAAAAAAATAGCCAGGTATGGAGACATGCCTCAGTCACAGTGCTTAGTGGGCTAAGGCAGGAGGATTAGGAGTTCAAGATTGTTCTTATCTACATAGCAAGTTTGAGACCAGCCTGAGCCACATGAAAAAATCCCAAATCTCCACTCAAAATAAAATAAAACAAAACAAAAAACAGAGGGAGGAGGGAGAAAGGGAGTTAGAGGGGGAGGGAGGGAGGGAGGGAGAGAGAGAGAGAGAGAGAGAGAGTCAGAGCCAGTCATGTGGTCTACTCTGTTTATAATTGTCATTTGTGTTGCGGAGACAAACCAGGAGAGGAACTAGACAGCCGGTCTCTGCAATTCCAAACTCAATTATTACCAGCAAGCAGAACCTAGGAGCCTGCCAACGGATCCTAGTCTAACCTTATCCTGTTACTTTAATAGTAAAGCCAAGCTGTCACCTTGGATGGTGGCAGGCAAAGCTGTTGCTAGCAGAAGGAAGTATTTTCCACATGTTGAGTATGTCCACAAGCTGCACTTTACCCCATAAAGGACTGTGCCAAGTCTGGAGCCAACGTCAACCAAGACCTTTCCTGACAGATCGGGGAGAACATGATGATAAATGAACTTCAACTCCATGAGGGAGAAGGAATGAGAAATAAATCCTGGAGAAAGAAGAGAACGAGCATCAAGTTATGTTTTCTGAGACAGGGTCTCACTATGTAACTCTGGCTGGCCTGGGGCTCACAGAGATCTGCCTGCCTCTACCTCAGAGAGCTGGAATTATACCTACACCAACAGGCCTGGCTTGCTAGGGTCACTTCTATCCTTGTCTGAGTTTTGAACCTGTTTCTGTGATAGCTTGACTCTGGTTTTCCTCTGACCTGGAGGGAACTCAGAGACCCATCACATCATGTCATACATAATGTAACTGTCAAAAAGGGAAGTTATCGTGGGCATTATTTAAAAGAAAAAAAAAAAAAAAAAGCTGGACAAAGTAGCACACACTTGTAATCCCAGCACTCAGGAGGCAGATCTCTATGAGTTTGAGTCCAGGACAGCCAGAGGTCTGCTACACAGAGAAACCCTGTCTCAACAAACAAGCAAAAAGCAAGATGGCAATTAAATGGAAGCAGGTGAACCAGTTTCCAGGGAGAGATATAGGGTATGCCTGTGTCTCAGAGGTGGTGATGGTGGGGTTCAGCCACTGCACTCCTCGCCTCCCTTGGATCCTCATCCTCACAGCCCCTCACACACCAGTGATTCCTCTGGGGGATCCAGGGACAAGCCCCTGTCTCATCAGAGTACGTGCCAGAGGGTGACAGCTCTCTCAGACCCATGAGTTATCTGAGTTGCTCTGGGTGTCTAGTCATTGTTTGTAACTGATTACTGGGGAGACACAGGCCAATCTTCAGACTTACTGTCAAACCCTGTTCTATAAATATTTACACATCAGGCGTTTGGTACATGGTATTCAGTTAATCATGTTTCAGTCTTTCCTCTAGCTCTCAGCTCTCTTTCCTCTAGCTCTCTTTCCATCCTATGAATGTCATCTTTAGGAATGTGTCACTTGGTCAAAACAAAGCCCACATACACTTCTGGGTCGCCTGTCTCTGTCCAACCCCAGCCAGCAGTATTTCTAACCATCTGACTTGCTAAGCAGTCTGTCTATCTCAGGCCCCTGGAGGTTACACTTCTCACAGGAAGTCAGTCAGCAGGTAGCCTGTCAATCTCTGCTGCACATGTGAAGCAGAAGACAGGTCCTCTGTTTTCAATCATGTCTGATTAGTCTCTGGCCTGAAGCTCTATCTCTGATTAAACTGTTTGTAGATGTGACAAACATTTCTAGGTAGGCCATTAAGTGAGCTAATCTCCACAGACATTTCTTTACATCACTCAGTCACCTTTCACCTGTCGGCCCACCCACTTACCTGCTTACTTGTGAGTGTGTGTGAGCAAGAGTGCATGGGCTTGCGTGCCCCAGTGTGCACGTGCCGGTCAGAGGACAACCTGAGGTGCTCTCCTCCTGGCTGTGGGTTTCAGTGATGGAACTCCGGTCATCAGGTTTGACTCCCACACTTTTACCCTTCTGTCTTCCTACTTTTAATTTTGGTAATGGCTACGCTAGAGGTTAGCTTTTATTCTGAAGATGTCCATGCAACAGTCTGATTACAAATTTACACACACACACACACACACACACACACACACACACACACACACACA